CTCTCTCTCTCTCTCTGTCTCTCATGAATATATAAATAAAATCTTTAAAAAAAACAAAACAAAACAAAACATTCTGCTAATTTAAAAAAAAAAATCTTCCAAATAAGCAAACGAGGCAAGATGGCACTGTGTTCTGTGACTGTTGGTTCTACCGCTTTGTTAGTAAACGTTCTGCAGAGGCCCCGTCCTGAATCCTTATGCCAATGGTCTTTGAGCTTTGTGCTTCTGCGGCTAGAACATGAGGGCTTAGGGGTCCTCTCTCTTTGTTTTAAATCCGGACAAATTTACACAGAGGTAGACACAGTGATGGCTTCCATCACATCTAGGTTACACGAAATTTATTTACATCTCAAGTCCCACTTTGGTACAAGTTTTGTATCACAAAGTCTTAAGGGTTATATCGTTCATACATGAAGGTTCATTTTGCAAATCCAGTTTCTATATAACAAGTTCCACTGCTGGTTTGGGGGTGACGGCTTTTGCTTTCATTTGTTCTCGGAACATCCCCTCCATAGACATGCCCAAGCCTCCCAAGGAGGACCTCTTCGTCCTGCCTGACGAGTACGCGTCTTGCTTACGGCATAAGCGCTCTCTGCTGAAGTCCCATAGGAACAAAGAGCTGAACGTGGAGACGTTGGTGGTTGTCGACAGAAAGATGATGCAGAACCACGGCCACGAAAATATCACCACCTACGTGCTGACCATACTCAACATGGTAGGAGAGTCCTTCTTGTTGAAGCCACGTGTGTAATGCCCCCTAATGGGGCATGCGCATTTATGTCTCACGTGCAAGAAATATGTTCTCTCTGGTGACTCCTTCACTCTTACTGTGCTCCAACCTAAAGAGCCATGTTCAGAACGTCAGAGAACACTGTAAGGAGGGGAAACGGCCCGGCCCTCTCTGTGAGCCAGGGGCATGTTTTGGGTGGGTCAATGTCTTCATTTACTAGAAATCTATAAGAGGGCGCTGAGACTATTTAGTGCAGTAAATCCACTTATGTGTGATTTTAGAGGGCTATACAGAAATACCCACCTCTTTAGGAACATTAAGGTTTAAATACTGAATATATACTATTTTATCTATAAAGTCAGAAAAACCTACAACCCTATAGGCTACCATCTTGGGTAAAATGTCCCGTGTCCCAGATTGGCAGCCGTTGTGATGACGAGAAGCATCTAAGCCCCACGTGGGTGACTAAGTAACACGTAAATAATGGAAGACAAGATCCCAGGTCACATGCGTGTGGTTTGAAAACAAGTTGGGATGACGATGTTTTGGAAAACACACTTGCATTCCACCTCAGCACCCCTGAACCTGGGTGTCTTTGCTGGTGTCCCGTCTGGCTGCCTGCCCCATGGTAAGGATTCCACGCTTGCTCTACCTGGCCCTTAGACATTTCTGTACCGGTCCGTCTAGCAGCCTAAGAAAGTCGGCATTGCTGTGTCACGAGAGAATGGGGACCCGCCGTCCCCGGCAGGACTCTGGGGACGGGGGAAATGGCACCACGTGCGGGGCCTGACAAGATTGCCCGTCTTTTTCAGGTGTCTGCTTTGTTCAAAGACGGAACGATAGGAGGAAACATCAACATTGCAATTGTAGGTCTGATCCTTCTAGAGGAAGAACAGGTAATCTGCCTTTGAAGCTGCCACCTTCTTTCCTCCCAGAAAAATAAATGCAAAGTGAGGCCTTTTTTCCCCTCAATGTGATCCTTCTTTGGTTTCTTGACTTTTCTCTCACTTGGGAACAAAAGTGTTTAATATTTTGTGTCTAATGCAATGAGTTTCTTACCGGTTCCTTTAATGATTATTTGAATCGTGTGTGTGCACGTGCACGTGCACGTGTGTGTGTGTGTGTGTGCAGAGGTAGTGAGGAATACTCTCTTAGTAGGCGTAAGAGAAAATAGAACAGAGGAGCTGCCTTAAACATATGCGTGGGACCCACACTGCGGATACAAAGTGCGCAGTGTGTCTTCAGCCACCTCCCCAACGTGAGCTTTTAGGCTCCTGGGTGGAACTGAGCCCTTTCAGGTCTTTGCTAGAAAATGAAAACTACAGTGAAATCGTGCTGTGGGGACTTACAGCCCCTACCAGCTTCAGTCACAGGATTGTGTTTTCACAGAGATTCTGGAATGCCATGCGCATGTCCCTCATTGCATCCAAACACCTCATTATGGCGGATCTTGGTCGCAGTGGGTAAAAGCGTCTCCTTGCTTGCATCCCAGCGTCCCTGTGTAAATACACGGGCTTGCACTTCAGTTCAAGGGAGGTTCTGTATGCACATTCTATGGCACATGTAATGGGAGAGTCTCAGCCATGCAGGACTCTCACTTCTGCTTGGCCCCAAGCTGATCGCTGGCTCCGCACCGGAGGAGTGAGCTTCCCGTGCTGACATCTTAGCGGGGCCCCCGTTAGCCATGGTTCTCTTGTTTATAACACAGAATTTTTTTAGCTGAAACAGAGATCACTCATAAGATCTAAGATGCCTCCAGAAGGGGAGCTTCTGAGGTGTTGCTCTTTTTCTGGACAGTGGAGGCCTGCAGGGGCAAGCCTATTTCTAGCCCGAGTGGTCAGGAAGATACAGCTTCATTGTCTGTGTGAGTGAGCGTCTGGACAGGGGCTGCTCAACTGGCAGGGCGTCTCAGGTGACAGGTTAATTATTCGTTGTATTAAATCGGTTTCACCTTGGAATTCATCCAAGCTGCAAAGAATAAGCGAGGTTATCTTTTGATCGTACACCTGTGTTAACTCTGATTAATGCGGTGTTCCTGGAAATCACCTGCTGAAGAATGTGAGGCATGTCCCAGTGCGGCAGTAGACTTAGGTGCATTTGACTCTCTGTAAAGACAAAATAAGCACTGAAGGAGAAAACCTCTTCAGTGAGCGAGAAACGCACATTTCAACCCAATATCTAATCGTGAATGCTTTACTCAAGTTGTCCTGGAATCACGCTGTTTAACCTGGCTTTCTCTGACGGAGCCATGGGAAGAAATAGCAACAAAGATCAAATAACTCATTGCAGCCTGCTCTGGTGTTCCTGACCCCCCACTTCTGAATTCCCCTGACATTTCACTGTTGCTGTGTTAGACGTGGTATACATGCATCTGGTGGGATGTATCCTGCATTGTTTCCTTCTGGCTCCTGTCTGTTTTCTGGGAAGAGAGCTTTTCCAGTTGACCTGCCCCTTCTCATAAGCATGTTGCTTCTGTAGGAAAGTGACTTAATTTAATACTGTCAATGATAAATGGTAAGAGTTATGAATCAGAAATCCCAGGTGCCCAGCTTGGTTATGAAATCAACCGTCTAGGTGTGTTTTTGTGTACGTGCAAAATCACATATAAATGGTTCTGTTGCCTTATATAAGTTTACAGAGTGCTTTACAAAGATTCTGATGCAGACCTTGCATGCACGGCGACTCATCTTTCTTGGGGCATTGAAAATGCATTCGGGGTCGGCTAACTACATCCCAGCTGTCTTTGTACAGAACTACAGAAATGTGAACAGAAGTGTCCACCCTGAATCCATTTTTTATTTTATTTTTTTTTTAAGATTTTATTTATTTATTTGACAGAGAGAGACACAGCGAGAGAGGGAACACAAGCAGGGGGAGTGGGAGAGAGAGAAGCAAGGCTTCCCGCAGAGCAGGGAGCCCAACTCAGGCCTCCATCCCGGGACCCTGGGATCATGACCTGAGCCGAAGGCAGACGCTTAACGACTGAGCCACCCAGGCGCCCCCACCCTGAATCCATTTTATAGAAGACACCCTCCTTTGGATTTTAATCCATGAAATGGGTGTCTCAGCTTATAGGCCATTCGGACCCATCTGTGTAGTTGAAATCCCAGTTACTGACAGGCTGATGACAGTGAAGTAACAACTGGCTTGTGACGTGTTTGCTCTCTGTTGTCATGGGGGTCTTGGTCTGTCTTGCGCAGCCGGGGCTCGTGATAAGCCACCACGCGGACCACACGTTAAGTAGCTTCTGCCAGTGGCAGTCGGGATTGATGAGCAAAGACAGCACGCGCCACGACCATGCCATCTTGCTGACGGGTCTGGACATATGTTCCTGGAAGAATGAACCCTGTGACACCTTGGGTAAGACCCTCCCGCGGCATTTTGAGGAGCGTGTGCGTGCTGTGTGCCCTTGGGGGCCCAGGACATTGAGGATTTGCCCCTCGTTGCAAATCCATGGTGGTAGCCGCTGCTGAATATGGCTGTAAGCACAGATGTGCTTCCCTGGAGGTACTTGGCCAAGCCTAAGTGTGTGCGTTTATTCACCCAAAGTGAAGACTTCACAAGGAGCGGTCCCTCGTACGTTCAAGAGTTCCTGTCTCTTCTAACTTAAGAGTTTCTCGCTTTTCTTCTCCCATGTGTGAGAACGGGTGAACAGATTCAAGGATGTCCCATTCTGTGGCAGAAACAGTACATTTATGAATGTTCGCAGAGATGTTATAGCAATATTATATTCTCCATATTTCCTTTGCTGCATAAATACCACAATCTTAGCAATTTTTTAACATGTTTATGAGGCTGTACATATCTTGGAGGCAGGACTTTGATATTTTTTCCAAATAGTCTAAAGCACACTGTGCTACTGACCAGGGTTCTCTTAGCCATTTTCTCTAACTCTGCATTTCTTTCTGCGAACTTAGTCAGCTAGAGCTCAGTCAAATAGAGGTTAATCGTGACTGCTTGTTCCTGGAAAGGCCTGCTTACAAGGTGGGCCCTGGCTGGATGCTGACAACCAGACTCCAGGGTGCTTCCCGCCCCCTGCTTGATGAGCGGGCTCACTGCGCCTGCACCGCTTGCTTGTACGGATAATGGGGTTTCCACGGGACGTCTGCTTTCCTTCTGGGAGTCTGGACTTTGGGTCCACACCACGCAGGGCTGCTATGCCATCAGCCCTGGATAAAATCCTTGGGTCCTGCGTCTCTAATGAGCCTGCCTCGTGTTTCTGGGGGAGTGAGGTGCATCCTGTGTGGACCCACTGGGAGAGGGCTCTGGAAACTCTTGCATGGTTTCCTCCAAACCTCTCCCCGTGCATGAGTTCCCATTGCTGATTTTGTCCTGCATCCTCTGGTGTCTGTATGAAACTATACCTGAGAGTATGACAAAGCCTGAGTCCTATGAATCCTTGGACCTGGGCTGGTCTTGGGGACCTCCTGATGTACCCATTCACTACAGTACTCTTTTATTCAGGCTTCCAAGAACACAGATTTTTATATAAAAAGGCAGAGATTCTTCTCCATCTACAGGAAACACCCTTTTCTACTCTGCCCCAATTATAACCTGTAACATGAACACCACATACAGCCGTGAATTATTTTCCATGTGGAGAGCAGATCCCCTTCAGTCACATTGCAAAGAACCCCTTATGTGCTTGTCCAAGAGTTTCCCATTCAGATTTCGCCACATGAAGGTGAGAAGTACACTTCTCTGAAGGACAGGGGATAAATATGCTTATATAATATACCTTCTTTATTTTTTTGCAATAACACTGCTGTATATTCTTTTGATCTCTATGCCCCATAGGATTTGCGCCCATAAGTGGAATGTGTAGTAAATATCGCAGCTGCACAATTAATGAAGATACAGGTCTTGGACTGGCCTTCACCATTGCCCATGAGTCTGGACACAAGTAAGTGTACTCCGTGGGAAGCTGGATCCTGGGCTGCTTTCCCCACTGGATGGTTGCCATAGAAACGCTGGTTCATTAGGTCAAGTCTGTACGGGGCATCACGTATATCCAAGAAGAATGTCACCGACAGGTAGGACATGGATCCCTTAGGTACTTCTTATTTTTCTTTTGTTTTGTTTTGTTTTTATTTTAAACAGGCTCCATGCCTAGCATGGAGCCCAACATGGGGCTTGAACTCACAACACTGAGATCAAGACCTGAGCTGAAATCAAGAGTCAGACGCTTAACCGACTGAGCCACCCAGGCGCCCCTTCTTAGGTTTTTATTTCAGTGCCAAGCCATGCACAGTCTAAAGCCGTGGCGATTCCCGCATCTACAGCCTCTCTCCTCTGCTCTTCCTTCACGTCCCGGCTCATGTGTGCGTGTAGGGCTGCATACAGTTGTCTCAGCGTCCGCTCCTTTGTTCCTGTTCTGAACTTTGGTCCTGCACGCTGATTTCATTCCATGGTTAGTTCCTATCAGGGACGATAGTGACAAGGCCGTCTCTTGTCAACTAGTTACCCTGGAGTTTTGTGTGCTTATATCACTTCTATAATTTGTAGAGATGTCTTTTGATTGGAATGCCAAACAGAGTTTGGAGAGTGCAGGTTAGACTAGGGGTCGGGGCTGGTTGGAGCTGGTCTGCTGCCCACATCTCCAGATGTCCAGCATAATGGGCAGCGTCAGGGTGCGTGGTAAGCCTGGGCTTGGCGCAGCCAGATGTCAGCGCTGACCGGAGCACTCAGCAGCTGGTGGCTTGTCATGGTGGCATCTTTCTACATGAAAATGTTACATTTGTTCCTGTAGAATGAACACTTTCTATCAATTACTTATAGACGCTATCATTCTTCAGTAAGGTTTCTTGGGCTAAACATTCAATAAGCTGCGTTAGGTCCCGTCTTCGCCTTACCGCGGCACACCTGCTGACTTCCTGGACTTGGCCCGATCAGCATGAGCGCCAGGAGTGGGAGCACAGGTGTCTTCCTGCTACACAGCAGCTCTGCTTGAAGTTTCTCCCAGAAAATGCACAACTGGGAATTACCATTTTCCTATTTTTCACTTTCACCCTGATTTTACTCGCAAATCACAAACCCGTTTGTGATTCAGTTTTTGCAGAACTGACGTCTCCATCCCCTGGTAGAAACGGACTGAGGCAATACCTGTCCCCTCGTACTGTTGTGTGTGTGTGTGTGTGCGCGCGTCCGTGTTCCCCTCGTCCTGTTGTGTGTGTGTATGTGTGTCCGTGTTCCCCTCGTCCTGTTGTGTGTATGTGTGTCCGTGTTCCCCTCGTCCTGTTGTGTGTGTGCGTCCGTGTTCCCCTCGTCCTGTCGTGTGCATGTGTGTGCATGCGTCCGTGTTCCCCTCGTCCTGTTGTGTGTATGTGCGCGCGTCCATGTTCCCCTCGTCCTGTTGTGTGTGTGTGTGTGCATGGGTCCATGTTCCCCTCGTGCTGTTGTGTGCGCATGTCCGTGTTCCTCTCGTCCTGGTGTGTGTGTGTGTGTGTGCATCCGTGTTCCCCTCGTCCTGTTGTGTGTGCGCGTCCGTGTTCCCCTCGTCCTGTTGTGTGCGTGTGTGTGCGTGCGTCCGTGTTCCCCTCGTCCTGTTGTGTGT